TTCCTCTGATCCGCCGAATTCTGCTTTGTTTACTCCGACAAATACTACAACGACGTCTCCGGAATGGTACTTAGACAGTGGTGCGTCGTCACATTTAACCACTGATTCCAGTTTTATCCAGACAACCAAACCATATCTCGGAAACAATCAAGTCGTGCTAGGCAACGGACAACAGCTTTCGATTCAACATACTAGCAATGGGCTTCTTCCTACTCCTACATGTAGCTTACAATTATCCAAGTTAAATCATGTTCCCAATCTTTCTTTCAATTTGTTATATGTGTATCGTCTTACATCTGATAACAATTGTGAAATTTCCTTTTCATCCAATGGTTATGTCATAAAGAATCAGATGACCCAGCAACCTCTTCTTCAGGGTCCGTGTATTAACGGATTGTATCCTCTCTGTGGTCGTCCGAGAATGCTGTCTTCTTCCAATAATCTTGCTCTTATTTCGGTTTAGCGTATTCCAGATTTGTGGCATCGTCGTTTGGGACATCCGTCTCATGCTACGTTATTCTATCTTGGTAGTCAAAATCTGGGTATATTGTGTTCTGTTAATAATTCTTGTAATGCTTGTCGTATGGCCAAGAGTCATCGACTTCCATTTGTTTGGTCTCAAACTCGGTGTACGCAAAGCTTTCATCTTATACATTTCGATGTTTGGGGTCCTTCTCCTACATCTTATAACTGTGGTTTTCGGTATTATGTTTCTTTTATAGATGATTATACCAAGTTTACTTGGGTATATCCTCTTTTACTCAAATCTGACACATTTTCTAAATTTTTTGAATTCAAGAAAATGGTAGAATGTCAATTCAATGCTCATATTAAAGTACTAAGGATACATGGAGGAGGGGAATTTGTTAATGCTCATTTTAATTCCTATCTTAAGCATTGTGGTATAATACATCAATATACATGTCCTTACACCTTACACTCCTGCTCAAAATGGTACTGCATAACGTAAGCATCGTCATTTGGTTGAAACACTTCGGTCCCTTCTTGTTGAAGCATCTATGACTCAATTTCTATGGGTAGAAGCTTTATACACTTCTGTATATTTAATAAATCGTCTTCCTTCTCTTAATACCAAAAATATTTCTCCTTACGAGTTGTTATATGGTCAAACTCCAAAGTATGATCATTTAAAAGTCTTTGGGTGTCTTTGTTATCCATGGTTTCGTCCATATAATTCTAGTAAACTTTCTCCTTTGTCTAAACCATGTGTTTTTATTGGTTATGCTAATTCTCAAAAAGGTTATAGGTGCTTTGATTCTACTTCAAACAAAGTGTACACATCTCGTCATGTTGTTTTTGATGAGTCTGTTTATCCCTTCTCTCAACAGACTAATTCTTCTAATACTCCAGTTATCTCTAAAAATATACCACCTTTACTACTTGTTCTGGCTTCAGGATTACCACAGAACATTGTTTCATCTCAGTTTTTGATGTCGTCTAAAGAACCTCAGGCTCAAACTATATTTGTTACTTCTAATTCTATAAGTCCTGTTGTTCATTCTCAATCTATTCGTTCTTCTTTACCCTCTGAGTTGCCAGTTGTTTCGGAAAAGCCTATTACTCATCCTATGCAGACAAGGTTGAGAAGTGGAATTGTTAATCCAAAACAGATTTTGAATTTATCTCATGCAATTCAATCTGCTGATCCTACAAATTATCAGCAAGCCTCTAAGTTCCCTCATTGGCGTATGGCTATGTCTACCGAGTTTCAAGCCCTTCAATCAAAGGGTACTTGGGAGCTAGTTCCACCGGATTCTAGCCAAAATGTATTGGGTTGTCGATGGATTTATCGTACTAAGTTGAATTCGGACGGGACAATGGCTAGATACAAAGCTCGGCTTGTAGCTCAAGGATACAAGCAAGAGTATGGTCTTGATTATTATGAGTCCTTTAGCCCGATTGCAAAGATGCCAACGGTTCGTGTTTTCATTTTAGTTGCACTATATTATCAATGGCAAATTGTTCAACTTGATATTTCCAATGCTTTTCTTCACGGTCCTCTTTCGGAGATTGTTTTTATGCGACAACCATCTAGGTTTGCGGATCGAAATCATCCACATTATGTTTATCACCTAAAGAAAGCAATTTATGGACTTAAACAGTCTCCGCGTCAATGGTACGCTACGTTGTCTCAGCATTTGCATAAATTTGGCTTCAAGCAAGTGCAGTTGATCCATCTTTATTGGTTTATCATTTGGGTTCAGTTTGCTTGTATATACTCATCTATGTAGATGATATTTTGTTAACCGGAAATGATCAAATTATTATAAATGAGCTTCTGTCAAGCTTACAGAATCAGTTTGTTATGAGAAATTTGGGAAAACTGTCACAATTTTTGGGTATTCAGGTTTCTTCAACAAACTATGGCATGCATTTGAGTCATACACTCTATGCTAAGCAGATTTTAGACAAAGCAGGCATGTCTAGTTCCAAATATGTGGCTACTCCAAGTCTTCATAAGCCGTCTATTGCAATGGCTGCTGAAACTGAATTTGAAAATCCTCAACTTTACAGACAACTTGCTGGCTCATTACAGTATTTGACACTTACTCGACCGCAGTACAACAAGTTTGTCAATACATGCATAAGCCACTTATATCTCATTTTCATAATCTTAAGAGATTATTGAGGTACATTCAAGGAACTCTTGATTAAGGTTTGCCATTATACAAGGATGAGTTGAAATTGCATAGTGAATGGTTTTGAAGGATTTTTGGATGGTTCTTGTGTGTGTCCTGATAAACACAGCAAGAATGCTGTCGGAGTCATAACGCAGAATTCTGATTACAACACTTGGGTCTTAATTGATCAGAATCTGGCCGCATCGTTGTATTCTGTTATTACTCCAACGCTTTTGCCTTATGTTTTGAATCTTGATCATTGCACGGATATATGGCAAACCCTTGGTCGTCGTCTTCAATCGACGACACGTTCAAGAATTATGCAGCTCAAGAATGAACTGCAACATTGTTCAATGAAAGAACAATCAATGGCTCAGTATCTGTTAGAGATCAAAGCCAAGGTGGATGCACTCGCAGCCGCTGGGATTGCACTTGATCCTGAAGAAATTATTAATCATACTTTAAATGGTTTGCCTAATTCATATCAGGCTTTTAAAACAGCCATAAGAATCAATCTTCAACCGCTGGCGTTAGATGATTTGTACACTTTATTGTGTATTGACGAATTGAATCTATCTCATAAAGTGACAAAAGATTTGCAATCTCTGCAAATCTCTGGGAATGATATTGCGTTGGCTGTATCCAGGGGTCGTGGTATTTATTGGGTACTTGGGAGCTAGTTCCACTGGATTCTAGCCAAAATGTATTGGGTTGTCGATGGATTTATCGTACTAAGTTGAATTCGGACGGGACATTGGCTAGATACAAAGCTCGGCTTGTGGCTCAAGGATACAAGCAAGAGTATGGTCTTGATTATTATGAGACCTTTAGCCCGGTTGCAAAGATGCCAACGGTTCATGTTTTCATTTTAATTGCACTATATTATCAATGGCAAATTGTTCAACTTGATATTTTCAATGCTTTTCTTCACGGTCCTCTTTCGGAGACTGTTTTTATGCGACAACCATCTGGGTTTGCGGATCGAAATCATCCACATTATGTTTTTCGCCAAAAGAAAGCAATTTATGGACTTAAACAGTCTCCGCATCAATGGTACGCTACGTTGTCTCAGCATTTGCATAAATTTGGCTTCAAAGTAAGTGCAGCCGATCCATCTTTATTGGTTTATCATTTGGGTTCAGTTTGCTTGTATATACTCATCTATGTAGATGATATTTTGTTAACCGGAAATGATCAAATTACTATAAATGAGCTTCTGTCAAGCTTACAGAATCAGTTTGCTATGAGAAATTTGGGAAAACTATCACAATTTTTGGGTATTCGGGTTTCTTCAACAAACTATGGCATGCATTTGAGACAGACACTGTAAGCTAAGCAGATTTTAGACAAAGCAGGCATGTCTAGTTCCAAATCTGTGGCTACTCCAAGTCTTCATAAGCGGTCTGTTGCAATCGCCGCTGAAACTGAATTTGAAAATCCTCAACCTTACAGACAACTTGCTGGCTCATTACAGTATTTGACACTTACTCGACCCGATATCACATTTGCAGTACAACAAGTTTGTCAATACATGCATAAGCCACTTATATCTCATTTTCATAATCTTAAGAGATTATTGAGGTATATTCAATGAACTCTTGATCAAGGTTTGCCATTATACAAGGATGAGTTGAAATTGCATAGTTATGCCGATTCAGATTGGGCTGGAGATTCCAAAGATCATCTACGAAAGCAGAATATAGGGCATTGGCAACTGCAGCTTCGGAAATAATATGGCTAAGACGCTTGTTGAATGATTTTCGGATTCCCTCATCACAACCAACTTCATTGTTTTGTGACAATACTTCTGCGATTGCTTTAGCAAATAATCTAGTATTTCATGCCCGCACAAAACATATTGAAGTTGATTGTCATTTTATTAGAGAATGTATTCAATCTCAACAGATAATTGTACATCATATAAATACCCAGGATCATATAACGGATATTTTTACAAAAGCATTACCTATCTCTCGGTTTAGAGATCTTGCTGTCAAACTAATTACTAGCAATCAAGTAATAGTTTGAGGGGGGCTGTAGACAGCTCATTAACAGCTCATTGACAGCTCAGCATTATAAACTAATCATGTGATTAGTTATAATGAAATGCTATAAATATGTACTGTGTGCTCTATTGAAGGATTGAATACAAGAAACACATTCTATACTTTCTGTTTCACTTTATCTGTTTTCTGTAACTTCTCAATATCAATTTTTACATGAGATCAATGTTTTGTACACTAAATGAATGAAATTTTAGAAGAAGAAAACAATATAATGAAAAAGTGGCGAACCTTATGAGGTAAATAAAATCTAAGAAATTAGTTTAATACTAAGCTCAGCCTGGAAATCAGATACCTTGCATAGCCTCATTTTTGGCATATCTTTCATGCAAATGCTCAATAAATGTATGATATGGGCGCCAACCACTAGGATTTTCATACGAGTTCACATTCTCTGCTCTTCTCTTCACATCTTTCAAGCTAGATAGGGAGAAGACATTAGTAAAAGTGTTAACAGTATTGCACATACAGTCATTATTTAGGCACATTTATATAGATCAACTTACATGTCCAGGATATCCGATGCAGCAAGTTTAGATACGAAAGGGATAACAGCTGCCTCCAAAAAAGACAATTGCTTTGGAGCATCCACAAAAGCATAAGAGATTCCATCCTTGACGATCTTTAAAATGTCCAATCTAAATTTGCTACGAGCAACACCAGAAAATGTTCCTGAAAGCCTCTTAGCCAATTCCACACAATCTGTAAAAGACTTTCCAGTGACGGTTACATAATTGCTCTTCAATTGTTCCTCCATATGACGTTGGTAAGCCTAGTTTCATGATAACCAATAATAAATGGGCAGAGAAAACTTAGACTCACAAATTCAAATCACAATCATTACAAAACAAGGCATGTCCGCATTCTAGATAAAAGAATAGAAACAAACATAAAGTAAAGCTCAAATGTGATCCTTGTGGCACAAGAACTAATCTATTGCCATAAAAATACTAATGGAGTCAAGAGTGGCAATTTCAAGCAATACCCAACTGAGCTTACACAACAATTCCATACTGAAGGTTAAGGATTCACATGAACATGGGGATGAGCCAATTTAGAGTTTATGTTTTACATATCTACCCATGGGCACATAAGTTTGCTTTTATGTCCTCATTATGTGAGTGGTAACAAATAAAAAAATCTTAAAGACCCCATCCTCATCAACCTTGTTTAAACTTGCCCCGGACTTGAAGTGAGATCGGAGCAGCCACAAGACCAGCATCATATATTTGAATGGGTTTTTTAAAAGTAAACCAACCATTTATAATCAGGTTGGTACAAGTCAGTACATGTTTAAAATTGGATTGTTTGGAAGCAAGCTAGTATGCCAGCCAGCCTTATATCCAACAAATTAGTTCAAAAGTTATTTAATCCTAAAGCCCCAATAACATTCTCTTTAAATTCAAACTCCAAAACAATTCTTAACAGCAGTATTTTAATCTCTTCAAATTAAAATCAAATCAAATTTTAATCTTAACCATAGGTCCATAATTACCACAAAAAATTAATTTATATCTAAAAACTTATTACATAATAAACCTTGTGAAATAATGAAATAATCCAAATTTTCAATGCATAAAATTCTTCATCCAACAATTGAACATACGTATGGCATCAGAGAAAGCCCTACTTTAAATCATTTGCATAAATGATTTACCAAGATACAACTCTAACCAGTTACTCCATGGCAATACTTCAAAAAATTTCTCAATGAAATAAATAAAGGAAGCATAATTTGGAGACTTACCCTTTTCATTGCCTCCAGAAACATTTGAGGAATGTCATTGGAAGTTTTCTTTAGAACTGTAATGAGATGCTTAATGATTTCAGTAGTGCTCGTCCCATGCATCACAAAATGTGAAATGATTTCTGGGCCAAGATAATCCTACAGTTATTCAAAAAGTTGTAATATTCTGGTAAACTATACGACCCAGGGATCTGAAATGAGACTTACAATCAATGTCAGAATACTGACTATAATACAATATTAGATATTCCAATGCATATGAGAATGAGAATGAGAATGTGAACACAAAATAGATCAACACAACAAATTCATAATAATCACCCTTTGCCTATGAATGATAACAGCATAAAGCTCTGTATCATCAAAATTAAAAAAAAAAAAAAACTTTACATGATGGCATGAAACTAAGATTCTTAAATTAAATATATTATTATGTCACTATACAGCAATGTTGTGTACTTTTGGAATTGATTCAAATACCATGATAATGCAAGAGCAACATATATCTTGCAAGAGCAGCATATAACAGGATATGCAAAATCACATGCATTCATGCACATCTATGTATGTACAAACAGTATGCCGTCCATAGAAGAATTTATTAACATCTTACTCTACAACTCAAGTATCATAAAGCCAAAAAGATTACTACATTCATTTGTATCATCTTCATATTCATACATTCTCTAAAGAGCATATATGGCATCTAATCCCACATGCATACATATACACTTTTGTATCAATGCAATTACTGTTGTATCAATGCATACATATACCCAAGCATGCATGTATATACATATGAAAATATAATTTATGGTAGGTTTTAAAGTATTTATCCAGATATCAAACCTGTATAGAAGCACATATACAGTTGTATGGAACAAGCGCTAATGCAGATGCTAATGGGTGTTGATGTCTGAATATAATTGTGATAGATGTATCAACCAATACAGCTAAAAAAATTTACCCTGGAAACAGTATTGTTGATCACTAACTTAGAAGCAGCAAGTAATACTGCATCTTTATTAGTTTCTTCAATATATTCTTCATTCGCATATTCCTCTTCAGTCTCATCTGTCAATTTAGATAAGTGGTGTAATGCTTATTGCATCAATAAATAATACAGAAAATATGAAGCTTCTATCCATATTTTCATGGAAATAACAGATGAATCCCCTAATAATACTACTAAAGGACTGTAAAGAACCTGAAATGTTAAGTATTTGTTGACAAAGCTTCCAAAACTTCTCAACAGTGGAAGAATCTGGGTAATATCCCAGACTCTCGAGTGTTGTAGATGCATACTTTGACTTCCTGAACAAGTTCCACATTTCTGCAAGTATGATGGAAACCTAAAGAAGTATTTAATCAAAATTTAATGGATCATCTAATAACATCAAATGTTCAATTCTTAAAATCCACAAGATCTTTAGATTTCAATTTGCAAGAACAAAATGAGAACAGACTCTGAATGGAAGAACAGTTCGACGCCTTTCCTCATGGACTACAACCAAAGAGCACATGATGTGTTCTAGCTGTTCAAAGAGATTTGTTCTCTTGGACAACAACACTGTTAAAGATACTTCAGAAGGATTTTCACTATCAATTGAGCACAACGACCAGGCTACTTGCAAATACATATTGAGAAGTACAAAACCAAGCACCTGAAAACAGGGAAGCCTTGTGAGATAATGCTCAAGCAGAAAAAAAAAAAAACTCCTACGATTTAAAACATGCCTCGTCATCCAATCCTTTTACATCTCTAAGAATGCCAGCCAGATCATCATATAAGTCTTCATTAACAACATTTTTCTTCAGTTGAAGCTCATACAACCGTTTCAAATTAACCAAAAGAGAATACTCATCATCGCCAACCTGCAATGTCAAAGTCACAGTTCATTAAAAATTTGGGGGTTTACATGCATAACACATAATTCTTATGCATTTACATATCTAAAACCTAAGGTCTAATATCTACTTGTATAACAATTTAGTACTCCATCACATTAAGGTCTAATATCTACTTGTATAACAATTTAGTACTCCATCACATTGAAAAGTATGAATGACGATGTGTAAATTACTTTTAAAAAGTTAAAATTAGTACTTTTTATGTGATTTAAAAATTTGGGTAAGTAATATATATATGCACCCACCTTTACAGCCTTTATGGCTGCCTTCAGCTTGTCTAGTAACTCATTCTCAATGTCTTTGAGCTTATTTTGAGCATAATCCCGCAAGTCAGCTTGACTCTCGGTGGAACAAAAGGAGATAGCCTTAATGCAGGATTTTAAAGCATCCTCTTCTCCATGTTTAAAGAATGCTTCGGCAATAAGATCCAAAACAGATTTAAAACTCTGAATAGGTGGCAAAAAGAAACAGCCTTGTTTAGTCAAACATCAAAGGCAAAAAAAAATTAAATAAATTTTGCAGAGTGCAAATCAACCAACCTGCTCCCGTCTTTTTAGAGAGTAAAGCTCTAGGTTCAAAAGTAAGAGAATTTCAACTAATGACGGTAACTTTGCTTTATCAGCAATATATTTTTGCAGCAGTTGTGGATAGCTCTTCATTAAGGCAGCAGTTATTTCTCGCCTGTTATTATCTATGGCCTCCTGTGAAAACGAGCAGTATAGAAAACATAAAACATTGTCCAATGGCAGTCTACATGCTCATTAACTTGAGCTTCCGGAAGAGTCGTTATGATGATTATTAAATTTAAAAAATTGATCCAATGTTATTATAAAATTTAATAAAATGTCTTACTTTATTTCAGGACTCAGAATGATCCCGAAGATTAAGTAGAAAGAATTGTACTGAGTATTGCTGTCAATATTGATGTGTTGGCCCAAATGATGATAGCAATTAGTCAATTAATAAAGGATTCGAGATCTCGACCATAAAGAAGTAATAACAGTAACATCTATCTTAGCATTCTATCTTCTAAATATCTTTTCCACTATTCTAATTTTGCAGATATTTCAATAAATGTCTGGCCCATTAGAATTATGTCATCAATGAAAAATATAACAAAGATACCTCACTATGAATATTATTAGTATGCACTCCATAGCTAGTACAAAAAGATCCTTTGTTATCCTTGATGTAATTGAACTATAATTGAAAAAAAATTATTTTATCTCTTCACAACTATTTCTAAGGATAGTTGATGCCCCATCATACAAATTTTAAATAAACTTCCAATATGCTTTAGAGATAAATCAATCTTAATTCGCACCAAATCAATTCTCATGATACCCTATATATCTTTTAAACATCAATAAAACCATATGAAGATCTTTACTCAGCTCCCTTTATTTTCCATAAATCGCCATAATACAAAAGTCACTTCTAAAATTAATGCTTTAGGCATGAAATCAAATTGATTATCTCAAATACCGTAATTTCTCTAGGCTTATGTTCTCCAATACTGTCCCGCAACTTCATTGCAAGACTCATGATTTCAAATGATGCATTATTAATCTTTATATAAAGCCAAAAACAGAAGAAACGCAATATAGTCATAATAAGTATCCCTGGACAAAGAAATGTCACAACCCACGGCCCCTCATGTTGGACATAAGAACAAAGGAGGGGATCAACTCTTTCAATGGTCCCACATAGCAAGACATCTAAGTGGCCAAGAAAAACTACAATTCATACATACATATATGCATTGATGTATCAGCAAAGATGCATTGAATTTATTGTATATAACACAATACATCCTCTAGTCCACCGGGTTTCCACAAAACATAATTATTAAAAGACAAGAATAAAAATAACTAATCATTGATTTAGAACCTTTCCAGCATTTTCAGAACAAGAGATTATAATAACTGCTCATAACTTAAGGATCTAGCATAATCCAGCCCGTATAATGATGCTTAAAAGGAAAATATAACATCCAGTACCTTTTGGGCTTTTGTATAATGCGGCTTACGGTTGTCAGTGGATGGAACAATCTTCTCTCCAACCGCCTTCTTGGTGGAAGCATTAAGCAGACGAACCAGATTTGTAGCATCCACATCAGTAACTTCAATTGTTGGAGTTTCATCAAGAAGCATGGAAATCATACACTTCCAATCCTGTCAAAACAGTAACAAAGTTATCATATATACATAGATTGAAGATACAATTAATGCTCTAGATTTTACAGCATATCATAGATAAATTTTAATTTCGACGTGTAACAGAGGGTCGTGGGTAAATTACTATACCTTCATGGCCTTCATATCATCCCAGACATCATCAATAACGTATGCACTCAGGATTGGATCATCAGGAAATTCTCGAAGTATTTGCAACATTCTTCCCAAGTGAACTTCAGAAGTTTTATCATCTTCCCCTGAGAATATGTTTGGCTTAACAAATAAAATAGATTAAACATAATAATGGAAGTATAGATTGTTCAATAAATAATAGAAGATCGTACCTTTGGAATTTGTTGATGAACCCTTCACATTCTGTGCAATCAAGTGATCATAAACTAATTCACCTATAGCACGCCTAATCATGGGAGGTTCATCAACGAGCAAATCATATAAAGGGCCCAATTCCTCATCTGTTAGGAGCTGATGTCTGTGAAACCACACAGAAAATGATCTTTTAACAAAACCATTCTTTTTTTTCCTTTTCTGTTCTAGGGAAAGGTAAGCATGTTTACCTCAGAAGAAGCTTAAGAAGCCCTATGGCAGAAACGGCAACAGGAATATCAATATCATCAGCAAGTTCAATCATTCTGTTGCAAAATCTTTCAGTAAAAAGGCCAAGAGATGGCACATTATCATCCACTTCATAAAGGTTTTGCAAGGACAGGACAGAAGTCTTCCTGACAGCAGCAATCTTCCGATGCAAACAGAAGAATAATGGACTTAAGATACATAGGAAGAAGAATACTCACAGTTCAAGTACGAGAAAATCAATATTTTTGAAAAAAATGGCTTACTTTGTCATTTAAAGTCCAACCTAGATATTTTAAATATAAATCCTGCAAGAATAGTGATGGGTAAGACAAGATCCAAATGCCAAGTGATCTAATACAAGAAACTCGAATGTCAGAATCAACATCTCGGTATCGGTGCATAAATAACCTGTTGAGGAAAGATGTAATGAGAAAAAAGAACATTCCCATTGAGCAAAAATCATTTTATTGCAAGAAAAGTAATAAAAATTATAGAATCCCAGAGAAATCACCCTTGGAATAGTTTCCTCATCATCTCTTCTATGACACTTATCATTTTGTGGGTCTGAGTTAATCTTTTGTTCAATGACTCCACACGAGGTCCATCACTCCGTTTCTTCTTTTCAGCATTCAACTGTCTTTGAGTAGTCTCACGCTGGCCTGCTAGTATCTTGGCAACTGCTATAAGGGAAGTGACAAGCTGAAGGCCCACGAGTGTAGCCACATAGCGATAAATTCTAGGAGGTGTACTGGAAACAATATAGCAGATACGTCAATTTTTTTATGCATACCAGTGCATAAGAGTTTAATATACGACTTACCATGACAATGCAATGACATAGTCCATACATTTCTCAAATAAGATATTATCAAATAATGGCCCATTTTGACACTCAAGTACTAAAGTGTCCCAAAACGAAGCAAGGTTTTCCTTGAAGTTCTTAAGCTCCTTCCGCTTGGAGGTATATAGATCTTCAACTTCGCCCTTGTAACCATATAAGTTAAGTCTAAAACACTGGTGTACGTAGAGCAACTTTCACAAACATGTAAAAAATTGGAAGGAAAAAAAAAAAACATGTTCTAGCTTGCCATGCAATTTTGAATTTCAGGATACAGCATTAGCAAGCTCTACAAGTTTGACTACCACATTATCCACGTCAGTAGATTCAATGGTATCCACATGAAACTGATATTTAGCACCACATGCCTGCTAATTCAGAATAAAAAGAGTTACAGCGATGAATGAGAAAAAAACAGAACAATATTAGCAGAAGACTAGCTTAATAAGTGACCTCAAAGAGCAGCATCAGAATATCCACCATTGCAGATTTAGGGTCTGCTTCATACTGCTCAACCAATCTCTTAACAGCATATGGGATAAGCTTGCTATTATACTTGATAATCTCTGCCAAATTATGTGCAACGGCAATGTTGCAATAAAATTAAAACCAGATAAAATATTTGTTATATATTTAAGAATTAAACTGGTGGAAAGATAGTAGATTTTGTTAACCATGTCATTGAGCAAGAATCACATACTTCAAGATGGACATCTTCAGAAAAACTGCATTAAGATGATCTCAACGCATCTCACCTCAGAAAATACTTGAATGATGCTTATTAAAATGTTTTAGGCTTCATTTGTGACAACTTTCTAAAGCAGTTTTTTTAGTACAAAACAATTTTGAACTAAGAACTTTGGTAGTAGAAAGTTGCTTTAAAAAAAAAAAAAAGCTGTCCTAAGCTGATCCACTACATAATCATGTGATTTGGTAGATTCCTTAATAATATTATTACAACAGTGAAGGTTTAGCGTTCTTCACCAAAATTATTCTAAAAAATGCATTTAATGAAGCTTATAAACCAATAGTGTAATGTACAAAATCTAATATTAAGGAACATGCAAAATGAATTTACATTTTTTTTCAAACAGCCAACTGGACAAATGTTAAATAAAATAATATATAAATGTTGTGCAAGGAGTATATGTTATGATCCAACCAAAAAAAAAAAAAGATAATTTTGCACATTTAAGCACATGTAAAAACCTACATCAACATGATAGGTTTGTGTAGTCCACCACGAACTAATGGTAGCAAATGCCATGCATACGTATATGCATTGCCTTCTATAGACAATGCATTGCAAACCCACAAATCGTAAAACATTTGAGGAATAAATAACTTGAAGAAAATTATACATGTATGTGCACATATTACATGACAACTAAGTTTAGACATCTATTAGCCTATTGCCCGGACCATTCAACTAGGAAATAGTTATAACCAAACAGGCATGTGCATGAATGTAACTTCAAATAATTAAATGGTGTTGTGAGCCCCCTAGTACATGCAAACAAATGTGCAAACTAAAAGACAGTAAAATGTTAATGTCCGCAATGAACTATAAAAGATTTCAATAAGCACATCGAATCCATAAAGTTAAGGCTGAAAGCGTGTGAATAACAGTTTCATTTGGTGCTATTGTGCTCTTACTATGATGTGTTGTTTGAAGCAATAAATAAGTCGGTATTATTCGTATGGAAAGGAGCAAGTTTCTAATAGTGAAATGCAAAGATTGTAAGTTCATGGAGGTTATGCACGTCAAAGATGTGCATATATCAATTTTTAGCACATGTTTCTTGCACAACTCAAATTTGTGATGGATAAGAATTAACAGCAAAAAGCAATATACAGGCATTACAGGAAGATACTTCTGAACTAAAACATCATTATATTTTCCCTATTGCTATCAAGCATTAATTAAAAAAATGCAAATTAACAACTACAGGAACTATAAATTAGTATTCAGATGCACATAAATGTATGCAATTCAGGAAATACCCAAAAGCACACATTTCCGAAATGATTTCACACATTCTTCCAATATGTAATCTATAATTTGAACCCAGCAGTCTGATAAAGTCGGCAGATATGCATTACAAGCGAATAACATATTCTTCTGTAATCTAAACTTTCAAAAACGTCTTCATGAAAATAACTTTTTATTTTATCTTTTTTATTGCATGTTTTATGAATAATTCCACAAACAGTGTTTTATGATTTTATGCTATTGCGTTATTACAATAATTTCACTCATTCAATAACTTATTACTAGTGCATATGTATGAATTTTGTTATTCATACATATGCACTAGTAATATGAATAAAAATTATATAAGAAACTTTACAACATGAAATATGCCTTTTAAAGGGCAGATTTTACATTCTAACTAATCAGGATGAGTCATAGCTCTAGAATTTTGTGCTGAATATATTGTCAATATTTTCAAGTAAATAAAAAAACTCCCATTAAGGTACAGTTGCATATCTTTTCGTATGTTACTGTCTATCAAATGAAAAATGGAATTCTATCAAGCGAAAAGGGGAAGTCAGGTGATTTTTTAGCTTTGAAATTGATGTGAAACAATGTGATGAAACAAGAATTGCATATACGAAATTGATAAATTATGAAGGGTGTTCTCGGCTCCGAATCCGGGGTTAAAGAAGGGTGACCGGATGACGTCGATCTCCCCGCGAGAATTGAGAATAAGTCCGTGATCAACTTCCGGATCCGCCATTCATGATCAAGAACGGAATTGTTATGTAGTGATTGAGTAAAGATGGAGGAGCCGCCACTTAGGAAAGTTGGCCAAGAGGAGGAGGGGGTTGGATGAGATCTCGGGTGGGAGGAGGTGGAGAGGGGAGGGGAGGCTAGGTTTAGGTTGGATTAGGGAGGATTATTAGAAATCTGAAATTAATTTTCAGATTAAGGGGAATTGGAGGGAAGATTTCGAATTTAAATTCAAATTCAAATTGAAAGGGATAAAGTGGAAGAGAGGAATTGTGGGAGATAATTAGGGGTCTTAATTGAGAGCAATTAATGAAAATTGGGGAGAGAGAGAGAGAGAGAGATCAAGGAGAGAGGCCGGCCATATATAGAGTTAAGAGAGAGGGGATTATGTTAATTATGTGGGCCCACAAGGGAATAAACAAATATTAAATCAAATCTGAATTTAACTTCATATTTAATCTAATTAGTAAGTTTCCTAAATGGTTTCTAGCAATAGGAAAGATTTTGAATTCAATTCAATTAATTGAATTATCAATAAGGAAACTTTCATAATTGCTAGGAGGAAATTTAGGAGCTCACCCGCAGGGGCTTTTGGGTACTTCAATTGAGCCTCTCCAAGGCTTCACCACTCTCTCTAGAACTCACACAGAGATCCAAAACAAAAGTTGAAATTTCATATCAATATTCATTAACTATTACAATGTAAGAGACCTCCTATAAATAGGTCAAAATGAAGAAAACCATAAAGACACAAATGCCCTCAGGGCTACAATAGCAACTCAATACCCACAGGGGTAAACTAGGAAAAATAGAAAATACAAGAACAAATAAAATACAAAATATATCAAAAGTAAAGACTCTGGATCGTAGCCGTCGATCTACGACTCCGACGACGGTACACATGTCGAAATCTCTAACTGATGTCCTCATCAGAAACCTTACACCCCAATACTAAAATTTAAAAAAATAATAAATTAAAAAAAAAACTGAATGTTCGTAGAGTCCTTGTCACACATGGACATTGTCTCACTCAATCCTATGGTAGCAATAACTTACATGCATGACAAGAACTGTTAGAAATGCCAGTAAAAACTTCAAATTTTGGCTATATGTATATTAACATTCTATGTCCTTATATGTAAACTTAGGAAAAGCCTATTTTAATTTTCCCATTGCTTATTAGAAATTAAAATAATGAAGATACAAAATGTGATGATGCGTATAGCATTAAATCGATGAAAATCATAAACAGTTGTCTCATCTCGTTAACAAGAAAGGGTGATGGGGACATCAAATTTCGACACGTGTACCATCGCCGGAGACGCCGATCGACGGCCATGATTCAGAGTCTTTATTTTTGATATTTTATTTTATGTCATTTATATTTCATGTTTTTCCTTTTGTACCCCTATGAGGGAATTAGTGCTTGTTGTAGCCCAAGGGCAATGTCGTCTTTATGTTTTTATTTCCGGATAGCCTATATAAAGGCTTTGTCATTTTATTTCATAGAGGATGATTGGATGAATGAAATTTTCTACTTTATGTTCTCTTTGTGAGTGCTTGAAGATCTCTTGGTGAGTTATTCGTTTGATATCTCTTAGTGAGTTCTCTAGGTAATTGCAATCCTTGTATTTCATTCTTCCACCTCCCTCCTTCCCACCACAAGAAACCCCACCGAGCTTCACCCGAAACCTTAGCTGCCGCCTCCTTGGGTTTCCGCCGCCGGCCACCCTCACAACCCCGGCCGCCCACCTCACCGACGCCCATCCCCCACCCGACCAATTCCCTCTCTCCGCCAATTTCAAATTGAAAGTTGAAATTCAAATTTTGAATTATTTCCTAATTTGGAATTCCAAATTAGGAAAGTTCCCATGATTGAGTCCAATTTCAAATTAATTTAATTTGGAGAGTTTAAATCCCTTTCCACATCATCAAACCAATTTGGAAACCCACTTTCATCTCTCCCCAAACCTCTCTCTCCCTAGCTATCCCGTCGACCCCTCTTTGGGCTCCCCATTAAGGAGTTAATTATTCCTCCCTAATTTGAAATGTAAAAATGATTTCAAATATTTTCCCCCCACTTACAATAAAACTGAAATTAATTTTAGTTTCATTTCCCTCACCCCCCCCCCTCTCTCTCCACTATCGGCCCCTTATTGGCTCTCTCATTTAGTGAGCATTAATTCCCCTTTTAATTTTGGAATTTCAAATTTAGATCCCAAATATTTTCCCTCCTAAATTCCTTAAGCTGAGATTAATTTCAGTTTTCAAACAAAACCCTCACCCTCTCACCCTAGTTCTACCGCCGGCCTCCCATCACCTCTACAACCCGCCGACCCCCTCTCCCTCCCATTGGAGAGCACCTTGTGGCGACCACCAATCTTCATCTCCATGTCACATGGTGGATCCCGAGCTAGAATGGGGGCTTGTGTTCGATGCCCAAGGTAATCTCGACGTCCTACAATCGCCGTTCTTTGACGCGGGATTTGAATCTGACGAAGACACCGTGGGAGATTACTTGGATCGGATCCTCCCGACCCTCATCCAAGTCCTTGATAGACAACGTCCGGACTACGAGTGGACCATCGACGGCCGACCTTCCACGCCACCTCCACCTCCTACGCCTTCCTATCCTTCACTACGAATCTCCGGCACCGTCGCCCTCGGAGTGGTTTCATCTCTTGTGTGGTCCTTCACCCGACAACCCTAGAAGTAGACAAATGAGTGTAGCCTCAAGGTGAGACCAAGGTTTAAAATTGCGTAATTAAGCCTCGAGGCGGTTTTCGTCCGTGAGGCGAGGCGTAAGCCTCGAGGCGGTGTGAGGCGTAAGCC